CTGTTTCCCCCAAGCTCCACCAGTGTTCCCATTTGGGCTTTATTGAGTATCAGTGCCAAGTTTGGTCCAGATCCATCATTGTTTGGGTCCACAGTGCTCTCTGGATGTAGGTGAACTACAACTCCCAAACTCAAGTTCAATGCCTACCAAACCCTTCCATGGTCATGGGAGTTCTGTGTACCAAAATTGGTTCAACTCCATCGTTGGTGGAGTACAGAATGCTCTTTGATTCTAGGTGAACTATACATCCCAGCAATGTGAAGGTCTATTTCCCTCAAACTCCACCAGTGTGCACATTTGGGCATACTGAGTATTTGTACCAATTTTGGTCCAGATCCATCGTTGTTTGAGTCCACAGTGCTTTCTGGATGTAGGTGAACTACAACTCCCAAACCCAAGTTCAATGCCTACGAACCCTTCCAGTATTTTCTCTTGGTCTGTTAGGGGATTTCTTGGGACACAGGCCCCGATCCCCTTGACACAAAGGAGGCCCGGAGAGGGAGCGAGCGACGAACGCTCGGTTTCCTATAAACCACAAATTATCACGCTTCTTCTGCATAATTGGCTTTAATCGCCGTGAAGTCATTTGATTTCCCTGTACCACGATTTGGCTTTAATTAATGGCCGCTTACGGGAAAGGAAAAGGGTGGGGATTCTTAAATATACCCCCCCCCTCTCCTTCCCTCCCCTTCTTTTCTTTCTGGCCTTCAAGAAGATGAATAACATTTGGAGATGCGGCTGGTTGGAAATATGGCTGGTTGGAATCCCTCCAAGAGAGTTGGGTTGGTGTGCGGTGTGTGTGTGTCCTTCGGATGGCAACCGGGACACATGGAAAGAAAGGAGGAAGGAATGGAAAGATGGGCAGGAATTAGAGCCAAAAATGAGGGTCTACGTTCCCCCAACTCATCTGACGAATGGCATTATTATTATTATTATTATTATTATTATTATTATTATTATTATTAACACAACAGCACCGGTTGTTTTTAAGTGCAGGCCAAGGTCTTGAGGCACCGCATCCAGTGTGCCGATCACCACTGGGACCACATTTGCTGGCTTGTGCCAGAGTTTTTGCAGTTCTATTATTATTATTATTATTATTATTATTATTATTATTATTATTATTATCACAACAAGGTGAGTTCACAAGAGACACTCTGCTGGCTATTGAATTGGATCCCACGTCGGACACTTCCCAAGTGTCTAGGACCATGTGATGTATTTATTATTATTATTATTATTATTATTATTATTATTATTATTATTACTATTAGAAACACAACAAGACGAGTCCACAGCAGACACTCTGCTGGCTGTTGTATTGGATCCCACGTCAGACACTTCTCAAGTGTCTAGGATTGTGTGATGTGTTTATTATTGTTGTTGTTGTTGTTGTTATTATTTGAAACACAGCGAGATGAGTCCACAGCAGACACTCTGCTGGCTGTTGAATTGGATCACACGTTGGACACTTCCCAAGTGTCTAGGACTGTGTTATGTATTTATTATTATTATTATTATTATTATTATTATTATTATTATTATTATTATTATTATTAGAAACACAACAAGGTGAGTCCACAGCAGACACTCTGCTGGCTGTTGTATTGGATCACACATCGGACACTTCCCAAATGTCTAGGACTATGGGATGTATTTATTATTGTTGTTGTTGTTGTTGTTGTTGTTATTATTATTATTATTATTATTATTATTATTATTATTATTATTATTAGAGACACAATGAGACGAGTCCACAGCAGACAATCTGCTGGCTGTTGAATTGGATCACACGTCGGATCCTTCCCAAGCGTCTAGGACTGTGTGATGTATTATTATTATTATTATTATTATTATTATTATTATTATTATTATTATGTATTTATTATTATTATTATTGTTATTGTTATCGTTGTTATTATTTTAAACACAACAAGATGAGTCCACAGCGGACACTCTGCTGGCTGTTGAATTGGATCACACGTCGGGCACTTCCCAAGTGTCTAGGACTGTGTGATGTTGTTGTTGTTATTATTATTATTATTGACACAACAAGATGAGTCCACAGCAGACACACTGCTGGCTGTTGAATTGGATCACATGTCGGACATTTCCCAAGTGTCTAGGACTGTGTGATGTTATTATTATTATTATTATTATTATTATTATTATTATTTGAAACACAACAAGATGAATCCACTGTTGAATTGGATCACTTGTCAGACACTTCCCAAATGTCTAGGACAATGGGATGTATTTATTATTATTATTATTATTATTATTATTATTATTTGAAACAAGACGAGTCCACTCATCTTGAGTGTCTGCTGCTGACTGTTGAATTGGATCACACGTCGAACATTTCGAAAATGTCTAGGATTGTGTGATGTATTTATTATTATTATTATTATTATTATTATTATTATTATTATTATCATTATTATTATTATTATTAGAAACACAACAAGATGAGTCCATAGTAGACAATCTGCTGGCCGTTGAATTGGATCACACGTCGCACACTTCCAAAATGTCCAGGATTGTGTGATGTGTTTATTATTGTTGTTGTTGTTATTGTTGTTATTATTAGAAGCACAACAAGATGAGTCCACAGCAGACACTCTGCTGGCTGTTGAATTGGATCACACGTTGGACACTTCCCAAGTGTCTAGGACTGTGTGATGTATCGGCAAATAATGTGTGCAGCTCTAAATAGGGTGGCCTTTGTGGTAATCGTGTCAGCACCGGTTGTTTTTAAGTGCAGGCCAAGGTCTTGAGGCACCGCACCCAGTGTGCCGATCACCACTGGGACCACATTTGCTGGCTTGTGCCAGAGTTTTTGCAGTTCTATTATTATTATTATTATTATTATTATTATTATTATTATTATTATTATTATTATTATTTGAAACACAACAAGATGAGTCCACAGCAGACACTCTGCTGGCTGTTGAATTGGATCACACGTCGGACACTTCCCAAGTGTCTAGGACCGTGTGATGAATTGGCGAATAATGCTTGCAGATCCCAGTAAGGTGGCCTTCTGCACCTGGCGGATGGTAATTTTGTCAGCGCTGATTGTGTTTAAGTGCAGGCCAAGGTCTTGAGGCACTGCACCCAGTGTGTTGATCCCCACTGGGACTACCTTGACTGGCTTCTGCCAGAGTCTATTACTACTACTACTACTACTACTACTACTACTACTGTTATCTTTATTTATACCCTGCCTTTCTCCCTGTCAGGACTTAAAGCGGCTAATAATCCACATTAAGCTATTGTGAGTTTTCTGGGCTGTCTGGCCATGTTCTGGAAGCATTCCCTCCTGAAGTTTTACCTGCATCTCTGACAAGCATCCTCACAACCCCTGAATAGAATCAAACTTGGCACACTGCCATGACCACTGGGTTGCTGTGAGTTTTCCAGGCTGTCTGGCCATATTCCATGGATTCGAACCTATGACCTGTCAGTCTTCAGTCCTGCCAGCACAAAGGTTTAACCCATTGCATCACCAGGGGTTCCTGGAGATAGCTGTGCTGGTTTCAAGCTTGTCGGACTTATGTTGAGAAGCTCTCCATTGTGCCTTTGGGAATTTGGTTTCTGGGATTTATAGTTCACCTACAATCTAAGAGCATTTTGAACTCCACCAACGATGGAGTTGAACCAGTTTTGGTACACAAAACTCTCATGACCAACAGAAAATACTGGAAGGGTTTGGTGGGCATTCAACTTGAGTTTTGGAGTTGTAGTTCACCTACATCCAGAGAGCACTGTGGACACAAACAATGATGGATCTGGACCAAACTCTACACAAATACTCAATATGCCCAAATGTGAAAACTGGTGGAGTTTGGAGAAAATAGAATTTTGACATTTGGGAGTTGTAGTTGCTGGGATTTATAGTTCACTTACAATTACTGAGCATTCTGAACCCCACCAACGATGGAATTGAACCAAACTTGGCACACAGTTCTCCCATGACCAACAGAAAATACTGGAAGGGTTTGGTAGGCAGTGTCCTTTGGTTTTGGAATTGTAGTTCACCTACATCCAGAGAGCACTGTGGAATCAAACAATGATGGATCTGGACCAAACTTGGCACAAATACTCAATCTGCCAAATGTGAATACTGGTGGAGTTTGGGGAAAACAGACCTTGACATTTGGGAGTTGTTGTTGCTGGGATTCATAGCTCACTTAACAATCAGAGAGCATTCTGAACTCCACCAATGATGGAATTGAACCAAACTTGGCACACAGAACTCCCATGACCAACCTTGAGTTTTGGAGTTGTAGTTCACCTACTTCCAGAGAGCACTGTGGACACAAACAATAATGGATCTGGACCAAAATTGGCAGGAATGCTCACTGGACCAAACTCAGCACGGATACTCAATATGTCCAAATGGGATAACTGGTACAGTTTGGGGGAAATAGACCTTGACATTTGGGAGTTGTAGTTACCGGGATTTATAGTCCACCTACAATCTAAGAGTGTTCTGAACCCCACCAATGACAGAATTGGGGCAAACTTCCCACACAGAACATTGATGACCAACAGAAAATACTCAAGGCCATCCAGTCCAACTCCCTTCACCAGGGCAAGAAAACATAATCAAAGCCTTCCTGACAAAGAGCCATCCAGCCATAGATCGAGATAGATATATATGATTCACACACACAGAGATATAGTACCGTAGATTTGAAAGGGACCCCTAAAGAAGGACAATGATATGTTGCCTGATCCAGAGTAGGCAAACCAGACAATCTCTATATCAACACCGACAAAGAAACAGCAAGAAATACACACACATATATACACATATACACACACAAATCACATATACACAGACTGGGCCACAGCAACGTGTGGCAGGGGATGGCTAGTACAGTATCAATAGGCATCTTGTTGTGTGTCTCCTTTCTTCCTGTTTTTTCTTTTAATGTGTCATCATCATAACCTACCCAGAAACGTGGACCCTTCCCCAGAAGACACACATATTTTTAAGGCCCCTCTCCTTCTGTACTGAAATGGGTGATGACGGAATAGCAGACGTCCTCCAGCTCCCTCTTCCGCTCTTCGTATTCCTTCTTTGGAGCGTGCCGGTTGCCCTCCATCCAGGCCGTGGTCTCTTCGCACAACTCCAATACCCGCCTCTTGGCCCGGCTGTCCAAGGACTTCTCCTCCACCGCCACCCGCTTCAGCTGGAAGGTGCTGGACTCCAAGGAGTTCAAGGCTTCCACCTTCTCTTGCTCGGCCTTCTCTTGGGCCCGGTAGGCTTCCTCCTCGCGGACAATCCGCTCGACCTCCTCTTGATCCAACCGACCTCGTGTGTCCGTGACCGTGAGCTGGCTGGTATGTCCTGTGTTCCTCTCCACGGCAGAGACGGTCAGGATATTGTTGTGGTCCACTTGGAAGGTGACCACGATGACCGGTATGCAACGTGGGGCTGGCTGGAGTCCGCTCAGCGTCAACGTCCCCAGGAGCCGGTTGTGTTTGGTCAACGTCCGCTCACCTTCGTAGACTTGCAAGAATAGGCTGCGTTGGTTGTCCTCCGTGGTGGAGAAGTTCCGGGTCTCCTTGGTGGGGATGGGGGAGTTGCGCTTGACCACGACGTCCATCACGCCCCCGACTGTCTCCAGACCCAACGAAACCGGCGTCACATCCAAGAGTAGAAGGTTCTGCAGATTCTCGTACCGGTGGCCGGTCAAGACGGCTGCTTGGATGGCCGCCCCTTGAGCCACGGCTTCGTCTGGGTCGATGCTTTTACACAAGGCCTTGCCCTCAAAGCATTGAGACAAGAGCCGTTGGATCATAGGGATGCGGGTCGAACCCCCCACCAGGACCACCTCGTCCACGTCGGTCTTCTTCAGCCCAGCGTCCTCCAGGGCCGTTTTCACGTGGAGAATTGTGGCCTGGAAGAGGTCGCAACAGAGGTCTTCAAAGGTGGCTCTGGTGACGGTTGTTTGGAAGTCAATACCCTTGTAGAGGGAGTCCACGGAGACGACGGCGATGGCGTGGGAGCTCAAGGTCCGCTTGGCCCTCTCGCAGGCGACCTTCAGCCTCTGCATTGCCTTCTTGCTTTGGCTGAGGTCTTCCTTGTGTTGTTTCTGGAACTCCTGGGCGAGGTGGTCAGCCAACCTCCGGTCGAAATCCTCACCCCCCAAGTGGGTGTCCCCCGTCGTGGCCAACACTTCAAAGACCCCACTCTGGACCGAGAGGACGGAGACGTCAAAGGTCCCTCCACCCAAATCGAAGACGAGGACGTTTTGCTTTGCGACACTCTTGTTTCCGTCGTTCATCCCGTACGCAATGGCGGCCGCCGCAGGTTCGTTGATCAACCTCAAGACCTCGAGTCCGGCGATGACTCCGGCATCTATGGTGGCTTGGCGCTGGGTGTCGTTGAAGTAGGCCGGCACGGTGATGACAGCCTGGGTGACCGGTCGTCCTAGGTAGCTTTCGGCCAGCTGCTTCAGCCTGGAGAGGACCATGGCAGAGACTTCCTCAGGATAGAAGGACTTCTCCAAGCCTTTCTCCATCACTTGAACCTTGACTTTCCCACCGCGGCTGCTCTCAACGATTCGGAAGGGGAAGCTCTTCAGCTCGGACTGGACGGAGGGGTCGTCGTATCTGCGGCCCATCAACCGCTTGGCACAAAAGACCGTATTCTCCGGGTTTAGACCGACTTGGGTCTCTCCTGGTTCTCCCACCAGACGTTCCCGGTCTGTGAAGGCCACGCAACTGGGGGTGATCCGGCTGCTGTGGCTGTTGGCGATGAGGTCCACTTTGCCGTTCTGGCAGACCGCGATGCAGGAGTACGTTGTGCCCAAGTCGATCCCCACCGCCGGGCCCTTGGGGCGAGTTCTGGTTGCGGACGTTTTGAAACTGGAGGAGGGCTGCAATGGGGAGAAGCTGCTGTTGGGGTCCTGAGCTTTCTCATGGCTGGCATCTGCTCCCATCAGAGAGTGTGTGTAAGATGTGGGTTTCTCGTTGGCGCCGGTGTTGTTCTTTCCTTCCCTGCGTCCCCAAATCCCTTTTGCCAAAGATGTTAAATTGGCACACTCTTTGGAGGGGGCAGCCCTCCTTTGCCCTCTGGGGTGGGACAGATGATATTTCCCTGCCAGGCATCAGTGCCCCATCACTTCCTATGTCACAATAGGGACCTTGGGCAAATGCCACCCACTCAGCCTCAGAGGAAGACAATGGCAAGCTTTCCTAAATAAATCTGGCCAAGAAAACCTTACAGAAGTCAGACTTGACTTAATGCTTACGGGTCCAGGATGGTGTTGCAGTGACAATGGTGCCTTAGGGCCGGATTTAGCACAGCAGGTTAATCACCAGCTTCAGCTGCAGTAGATCTTGCCAACCAAAAAGTTGATAATTCTAAGCTGATAATTCATCTGTGCCATCACCACTCAAGCAGGGAGCTTTGAGATGGTTGAAAAGAAGCTCTCCGAAGCTCTAGGTGCTCTTACTGCCTATTACAGGGAAAACCAACTGATCCCTAATCCATCTAAAACACAGACATGCGCCTTTCACCTTAAGAACAGACAAGCATCCCGAGCTCTGAGGATTACCTGGGAAGGAATCCCACTGGAGCATTGCAACACACCCAAATACCTGGGAGTCACTTTGGACCGTGCTCTGACCTACAAGAAGCACTGCCTGAACATCAAGCAAAAAGTGGGCGCTAGAAACAACATCATATGAAAGCTGACTGGCACAACCTGGGGATCACAACCAGACACAGTGAAGACATCTGCCCTTGCGCTATGCTACTCTGCTGCTGAGTACGCATGCCCAGTGTGGAACACATCTCACCACACTAAAACAGTGGATGTGGCTCTGAATGAGACATGCCGCATTATCACAGGGTGTCTGCGCCCTACTCCACTGTGTGTTTGTTTTGTTCTGTTAGAATTGTAACACAATGGTATGGTTGCTGATGACACGATAAATAAATAAATAAATTCTAAGCTGGGTCAGGGTGAGCTCCTGACTATCAGCCCAGCTCCCCTGCCCACTTAGCAGATCAAAAACAGCAATGTGAGTAGATGACTTACTTACTTAGGCAATCCCTCATTGTCCGAGTAGGATGGTCTTCCAGGGTCAGTGGGCAGTGGGTCCGTAGGTGACTGTGGAGCCTTGCATCTTCTCCCGCAGTGAGGGCATCGGTTTCCAGGTGGAAGGTGGTCCCGGTCAAGTTGGCTTGACGCACCTTTCTCTTGGCACGTTTCTCTCTTTCGCCTTCCATTCTCGCCTCTTCAAATTCTACAGCACTGCTGGTCACAACTGACCTCCAACTGGAGCACTCAAGGGCCAGGGCTTCCCAGTTCTCTGTGTCTATACCACAGTTTTAAAGCCCATCTTTAAATCTCTTTTCCTGCCCAATAATATTCCATTTTCCATTCTTGAGTTCGGAATAGAGCAACTGCTTTGGGAGACGGTGGTCGGGGATCTGGACAACGTGGCCGGTCCAGCGGAGTTGATGGCGGAGGACAATTGCTTCAATGCTGGTGGTCTTTGCTTCTTCCAGACATTTGTCCGCTTGTCTTTCCAAGAGATTTGCAGGATTTTCCAGAGGCAACGCTGATGGAATCGTTCCAGGAGTTGCATGTGACACCTGTAGACAGTCCACGTTTTGCAGGCGTATAGCAGGGTTGGGAGGACAATACCTTCATAAACAAGCACCTTGGTATGCCTACGGATGTCCCGGTCCTCAAACACACTCTGCTTCATTCGGAAAAATGCTGCACTTGCAGAGCTCAGGCGGTGTTGTATTTCAGTGTCAATGTTGGCATTTGTAGACAGTCCACGTTTCACAAGCATAAAGCAGTGTTGGGAGGACAATAGCTTCATAAACAAGCACCTTGGTATGCCTACGGATGTCCCGGTCCTCTCTGCTTCATTCGGAAAAATGCTGCACTCGCAGGGATCAGGTGGTGTTGTATTTCAGTGTCAATGTTGGCATCTGTAGACAGTCCACGTTTCACAAGCATAAAGCAGTGTTGGGAGGACAATAGCTTCATAAACAAGCACCTTGGTATGCCTACGGATGTCCCGGTCCTCTCTGCTTCATTCGGAAAAATGCTGCACTCGCAGGGATCAGGTGGTGTTGTATTTCAGTGTCAATGTTGACATCTGTAGACAGTCCACGTTTCACAAGCATATAGCAGAGTTGGGAGGACAATAGCTTCATAAACAAGCATCTTGGATATCCCGGTCCTCAAACACTCTCTGCTTCTTTTGGAAAAATGCTGCACTTGCAGAGCTCAGGTGGTGTTGTATTTCAGTGTCAATGTTATATTTCAGTGTCAAGAGTAGATGTATAGGAACCGCATCAAGTGGGAAGGGGGAAAAAGGGGGGTATTTTGTTTTTACAAGTAAAGTGGGAGAAGAATAATATAGAGAAAAAGTAGGAAAAAAAAGCGACAGATTTGAAAAAAGAAAAGAGAAAAAGAGAGAAAAAAATAACATAAAAAATAAAAATGGTGAATTTCATCTAATTCTTTGTGGTTTTGTGCTTTATTCAATAGTATTCTATATTAGAAATATTAAAATAAATAAATAAATAATAAAAATGTCAAACGCAGAGGTATTTTTTGCACGTCGTTCGGAGGAAAGTTTACTAACAAAGAAAGCTCTTCTGCAAGGAGATGGAGCGAGAGCACCCCCCTGTGGCTGGAACTAAGCACAGCCTCCAAAAGATGCTGAATGATGAAAAAAAGTCTAAATATACCTCTATCTCAGTATTTCTCAAGCTGGGGGTTAGGAGGGGTCGCAAGGGGGTGTCAGAGGGGTCGCCAAAGACCATCAGGAAACACAGTATTTTCTGTTGATCATGGTGGTTCTGTCTGGGAAGTTAGGCCCAATTCTATCGGTGAGGTTCAGAATGCTCTTTGATTGTAAGTGAACTATAAATCCTAGCAACTACAACTCCCAAATGTCAAGGTCTGTTTTCCCCAAACTCCACCAGTGTTCACATTTGGGTATATTGAGTATTCGTGCCAAGTTTGGTCCAGATCCATCATTGTTTGAGTCCACAGTGCTCTCTGGAGGTAGGTGCACTACAATTCCCAAACTCCTGCAGAATCCTGGGGTTTGTAGTTTAGGAGGGGCCTTTAACAGCCTCACTAAACTACAAACCTCCGAATCCACTTAAAATCCGGTTTCTGTCTCCTAGAGAATCCTGGGCTTTGTAGTTTAGGGAGGAGCCTTTAAAAGCCTCACTCAACCACAAACCTCAGATTCCACTTAAAATCCACTTTCTGTCTCCTGCAGATTCCTGGGGTTTGTAGTTTAGGGAGAAGCCTTTAACAGCCTCACTCAACTACAAACCCCAGAATCCACTTAAAATCCAGTTTCTGCCTCCCAGTGAATCCTGGGCTTTGTAGTTTAGGGAGGAGACTTTAAAAGCCTCACTAAGAGAATCCTGGGCTTTGTAGTTTAGGGAGGAGCCTGTAACAGCCTCACTCAACTACAAAACTCAGAATCCACTTAAAATCTGGTTTCTGTCTCCTGCAGAATCCTGGTGTTTGTGGTTTAGGGAGGGGCCTTTAACAGCTTCATTCAACTACAAATCCCAGAATCCAATTAAAATCTGGTTTCTGTCTCTTGCAGAATTCTGGGGTTTGTAGTTGAGTAAGGCTGTTAAAGGCCTATCCCTAAACTACAAACCTCAGGATTCTGCAGGAGACGGAAACCAGATTTTAAGTGTATTCTGGGATTTGTAGTTGAGTTTTCCTCTAGTGTGATGAAGTGTTGCATGGGAGCAGAACTTGAGATTGTTTGGCTCAACCAGAGGGACTTCGGTCAATAAAAGGATCAGGCCATATTTGAAACTCTAATTTTAATAAGTCCCAAAGGTGGTACAATGCACTCTGGCGGTGATTTTATTCCATCTCCTCCTCAGGCTGAGCCTTGTCTTGGTCTCCATCCACCACCACAACCTCTTCCCGATGTTCTCCAGATCTTGCTTCTTCCGCGCTTTCGCTTTCGGCAAGGGAGATGCAGATGGAACCCCAGGCTTCCTCCAGATCCTTCTGCCGCTGCTCGCACTCTTCCTTCTCCGCCAGCGCGTTCCCCTCCAGCCAGGACGTGGTGCTGTCGCAAATCTCCAACATCCTCCTCTTGGCCTGGACATCCAGGACTTGCTCTTCCGCCACCCGCTTCAGCTTCAGCGTGCAGGACTCCAAGGAGTTCATGGCTTCGATGTTGTCCTGCTGGGATCGGTCGTTCACTCGGAACTCTTCGGCCGTTTGGATGATCCGCTCAATCTCCTCTTTGCCCAGGCGGCCTCGGGTGTCGGAAATGGTGATGTGGTTGGAGTTCCCCGTCTCCACGTCCTTCGCGAAGACCGTCAGGATGTTGTTCTCGTCGATGGAGAACGTCACGGTGATGACCGCCGTCCCGCAAGGAGCCGGCGGGATCCCGGTCAAGGTGAAGGTGCCCAAGAGGTGGTTGTGTTTGGTCAGCGCCCGTTCCCCCTCGTAGACCATGAACAAGATGGTGTCTTGGTAGTCTTCGGTGGTGGTGAAGTCCATCGTCTCCTTGGTCGGGACAGGAGAGTTGCGTTTGATGACGGTGGTCATGACCCCGCCTTGAGTCTTGATCCCCAACGACAGAGGGGTGACGTCCAAGAGGTACATGTTCTGAAGTTTGGTCATCCGGTTGCCAGTCAACACAGCAGCGTGGATGGCTGCCCCGTAGGCCACGGCTTCGTCGGGGTTGATGCCTTTGCACAGCTCTTTCCCGTTGAAGAAGTCCTTCAGGAGCTTCTGGATCTTGGGGATACGGGTGGAGCCTCCAACCAACACGATATCCATGATCTCACTTCGACTCAGCTGGGCGTCCTTCAAGGCCCGCTCCAAGGGTTTCAGAGTCGCTCGGAAGAGGTCGGAACAAAGATCCTCAAAACGCGCCCTGGTGATGGTCATGTAGAAGTCTATCCCATGATACAGAGCCTCAGCGGAGATGCTGGCACTGGAGCAAGAGCTCAGGATGCACTTTGCCCGCTCCGCCGCCGTCTTGAGCCGCTGCATGGCCTTTTTGTCCTTTCGGAGGTCTTTCTTGTGCTTCTTCTTGAACTGATCAGCCAGGTAAGACACCAGCCTTTTGTCGAAGTCCTGCCCACCTAGGTGAGTGTCGCCAGCGGTGGCCTTCACTTCAAAGATGCCATCTTCGGCGGAGAGGATGGACACGTCAAAGGTGCCTCCACCCAGGTCGAAAATGAGGATATTCCTGCTCCCGGCTTCCTGGTTTTTGAGGTCCAATCCATAAGCAATCGCGGCGGCGGTGGGTTCGTTGAGTATCTTCAGGACTTGGAGTCCGGCGATGGCCCCAGCATCAATGGTGGCTTGGCGCTGGGCATCGTTGAAGTAAGCCGGGACAGTGACAACAGCTTGAGTGACAATGCATCCCAGGTAGGCTTCGGCTGTGTGCTTCATCTTGGTCAAGATCATGGCTGAGATCTCCTCAGGGTAAAAGGTTCTCAGCTTGTCCTTGTGGACCACCTCGATCTTGAGCTTGTCCTCGTGGTTGGCTACGGTGAAAGGCCAATGCTTGATGTCCTCCTGGATGGTGGCGTCATGGAAGTTTCGGCCGATCATCCGCTTGGCATCGAAGACGGTGTTCTGGGGGTTGAGGGAAGCCTGGTTTTTGGCAGGATCGCCCACCAAGTGCTCGCTGTTGGTGAAGGCCACATAGCTGGGGGTGATCCGGTGGCCTTGGTCGTTGGCGATGGTCTCGACCTTGTCCTGGTGGCAGACAGCGACGCAAGAGAACGTGGTGCCGAGATCAATCCCGACAGCCAGGGCATTTTGCTTAGGCATGGCTATGTGCCTTTTGAGGGTAGATGATGTCAGACTCGGAGGACGGGAAGGAGGTAGATGTTCCCATAAGACCTCTTTTTGGTGTCCTTCTTGCTATTCCTTTCTCTCCTCCCAGGGCTTAGGTCATTCTAAAGGTGAAAGATGGGGGCGTCTTTCACCTTTGCTGACAGCCAGGCATTGCTCCTTCTGTCTTGGCTGAGTTGACTCTTCAAAACTCCTTCTGATGACTTCATCAGGACACATCACAATGGAGTGGCTTGGGTAGGCAACGCTGAACTGGCCAGCCTCTGGACCACACATTCTGGGCTCTATGGCCTCCAATTAGAGAGGAACATCAAGATATATGTGAGCTAAGCTACACCAGAGAGAGGATAAGAGAGTGAATATTATCAGCGAGGATGAACAGACAAGCTAAGGGAGGCTGCAACTGCAGTTCTTCATAATTCTTATCTCTCTATCCATCCATCCATCTTACTACTTGAGGATGCACCCAAGGATCCTCAAGCGGTGGATCTATCTATCTATCTACCTCCCTACCTATCTACCCATCCATGGCTGGTCATTTGTACAGATATATAAACCCATTTTCCTACTTCCAACAGACCTCACTACCTCTCAGGGTAGAACAGAAGCTTTCCGAAGCTCTAGGTGCTCTTACTGCCTATTACAGGGAAAACCAGCTGATCCCTAATCCATCTAAAACACAGACATGTGCCTTTCATCTCAAGAACAGAGAAGCATCCCGAGCTCTGAAGATCACCTGGGAAGGAATCCCACTGGAGCATTGCAGCGCACCCAAATACCTGGGAGTCACTCTGGACCGTGCTCTTACCTGCAAGAAGCACTGCCTGAACGTCAAGCAAAAAGTGGGTGCGAGAACCAATATCATACGAAAGCTGACTGGCACAACCTGGGGATCACAACCAGATACAGTGAAGACATCTGCCCTTGCGCTGTGCTACTCTGCTGCTGAGTACGCATGCCCAGTGTGGAACACATCTCACCATGCTAAAACAGTGGATGTGGCTCTTAATGAGACATGCTGCATTATCACGGGGTGCCTGCGCCCTACACCACTGGAGAAATTACACTGCTTAGCCGGTATTGCACCACCTGACATCCACCGGGAAGTAGCAGTCAATAGTGAAAGGACCAAGGCAGAGACATCTCCAGCTCATCCCCTGTTTGGGTATCAGCCAGCACGCCAACGACTTAAATCAAGCAATAGTGTTCTAAGATCTACAGAGACACTCGATGGAACACCTCAGCAAGCGAGAGTCCAAAAGTGGCAGGCCCAAACCCAGCACCTCAACCAATGGCTGATACCCAATGAGAGACTCCCCCTGGGCACACAGAGGACTGGGCGACTTGGAAGGCTCTGAACAGACTGCGCTCTGGCACCACGAGATGCAGAGCCAACCTTCAGAAATGGGGCCACAAAGTGGAATCCTCGGCATGCGAGTGTGGAGAAAAGCAAACCACTGACCACCTGCTGCAATGCAACCTGAGCCCTGCCACATGCACAATGGAGGACCTTCTTGCAGCAACACCGGAAGCACTCCAAGTGGCCAGATACTGGTCAAAGGACAAACCAACTACCAAACTCACAAGATGTGTATTTTTCTGTCTGTTTGCTTTGTTCTGTTAGAAATGTAATATATAATGGACTGGTTGCTCTGACACGACAAATAAACCTCTCAGGGTGCTTGCCATAGATGCAGGCGAAATGTCAGGAGAAAATGCCTCTAGAACATGGCCATATAGCCCGGGAAACCTACAACAACCCAGTGATTCTGGCCATGAAAGCTTTCAACAATACATTTGTGTAGGTGTTGAACATGGATGGAGCAAGCACGCTCCCCTGAGGCAGGCCGTTCTTCTGTTCCCGCCATCTGCTTCTCTGGCCCTGGAACTCAACAAAGAAGCTCCTGTTTTGTAGCAGGTTTCCTATGAGGCGGGTGAGACGGTCGTCCTTTGTGATATTATACATTTTTCTCAGGAGGAGGCGGTGGTTTGCGGTAGCAGGTATCGTAAGCCGCTGACAGGTCTATGAAGATAGCTCCTGTGATCCGCTGCCTTTCAAAGCCATCTTTGAGAGTTCTTGGAGAACGGGAGAAGTTCCAGCAGATTGGAGGAGGGCCAATGTGGTCCCAATCTTCAAGAAGGGAAAAAAGGATGACCCAAACAACTACCGTCCGGTCAGCCTCACGTCAATACCAGGCAAGATCTGGAAAAGATTGTTAAGGAAGTGGTCTGCAAACACTTAGAAACAAATGCGGTCATCGCTAATAGTCAACATGGATTTATCAAAAACAAGTCATGCCAGACTCATCTGATCTCTTTCTTCGATAGAGTTACAAGCTGGGTAGATGCGGGGAATGCCATGGATGGAGCGTGTCTGGATTTCAGGAAGGCCTTCGACAAGGTCCCCCATGACCTTCTGGCAAGGAAACTAGTCCAATGTGGGCTAGGCAAAACTACGGTGAGGTGGATCTGGAATTGGTTAAATGGACAAACCCAGAGGGTGATTCTCCCCAAGGCTTCCTCTTCATCCTGGAAAGAAGTGACGAGTGGAGTGCCGCAGGGTTCCGTCCTGGGCCCGGTCCTGTTCAACATCTTTATTAATGACTTAGATGAAGGGCTAGAAGGCAGGATCATCAAGTTTGCAGACGACACCAAATTGGGAGGGAGAGCCATACTCCAGAGGACAGGAGCAGGATTCAAAACGATCTTGACAGATTAGAGAGATGGGCCAAAACGAACAAAATGAAGTTCAACAGGGACAAATGCAAGATACTCCACTTTGGCAGGAAAAAACGAAATGCAAAGATACAGAATGGGGGACAATGCCTGGCTCGAGAGCAGTACGTGTGAAAAAGATCTTGGAGTCCTCGTGGACAACAAGTTAAACATGAGCCAACAATGTGATGTGGCGGCAAAAAAAGCCAATGGGATTTTGCCCTGCATCAATAGGAGCATAGTGTCTAGATCTAGGGAAGTCATGCTACCCCTCTATTCGCTTGGTTAGACCACACCTGGAATATTGTGTCCAATTCTGGGCACCACAATTCAAGAGAGATATTGACAAGCTGGAATGTGTCCAGAGGAGAGCGACTAAAATGATAAAAGGTCTGGAGAACAAGCCCGATGAGGAGCGGCTTAAGGAGCTGGGCATGTTTAGCCTGAAGAAGAGAAGGCTGAGAGGAGATATGATAGCCATGTATAAATATGTGAGAGGAAGCCACAGGGAGGAGGGAGCAAGCTTGTTTTCTGCTTCCTTGGAGAGTAGGACGCAATGGAACAATGGCTTCAAACTACAAGAGAGGAGATTCCATCTGAACATGAGGAAGAACTTCCTGACTGTGAGAGCCGTTCAGCAGTGGAACTCTCTGCCCCGGAGTGTGGTGGAGGCTCCTTCTTTGGAAGCTTTTAAACAGAGGCTGGATGGCCATCTGTCAGGGGTGATTTGAATGCAATATTCCTGCTTCTTGGCAGAATGGGGTTGGTCTGGATGGCCCATGAGGTCTCTTCCAACTCTTTGATTCTATGATTCTATGCTGAGTCAGGTTCATAGTAAAAATATAAAATAATAATATCATAGTATTATAATAATAATAAATAATCCTGTTCTGTCGTGCGCTGGGCCTTTAAATAATTGTCTTTAAATAGGACGTGCGACTTGAGCCCAGCGGGAAGCCAGGGCTCCCCGAAGAGAAGTTCTCAGAGGTTTTCCACCACAAATAGTCTTTAGATGGCTTGTGAAGTACAACAAAGTCCTTTATTAATGAACAATCAAACAGAAACTTCTCTTGTCTTCAGAAAGTTAAACAAATGATTCCAGGCTTTTATGCAACTGGTGGCTTCTGAATCTTGTCCACGAAGGACAGGCAATTGTCTTCAATAACTAATTCTTTACTTTAAAGGAAAATCCCCCTTTTAACTTCTCCCAGGCAGACTGTAATCTAATCCTTACTGATGTGGGCTCCGCTACCGGGTCAAACTTCGTCTCGAGCACCGAGTGGACCTACCAGTAAGGCCAGTAGATTCTCCAGCTGGAGTTCTTTGGTATTCCAAAACTGTTTATCCTCCGAAATTCCTCGAAGCTTTAGGACGGCTTCCCTGGAAATCTTTGGATGCTCTTCAGACAGTTCTCCCCCGGAAAGTCTTAAGGGTTGAAGCTTTTGTACAGGAGAAGCTTGTACACGTCCTCTAAATTAGCTTTCCTTACTGAGAATAACTAAAAAATGGCTCCCTTCCCTTCCCAATTGCCCTGAGCAAGGGGCGGAACCAAAACTTAACGATGATGGACAGGTGCCTTGCCCTATGACTGCAACCAAAGGAAGCCACCTTTCTGCAGAATCCCTGAAACCTTGGACTGCAAGCAAACATTTAATACAAAGCAAATAAAGCTGGAGCTCCTGGCACAGCCGTACCAGAATATTTACAGATGGCAAGCTGTTTAACCTCAGCAGACTGAAAGCCAAAACCAAAGTTACAACAACATCTGTTATAGAACTCCAGTATGCTGATGACAATGTCGTCTGTGCACATTCAGAAGAAGATCTACAAGCCACACTCAACACCTTCGCAGAAGCATACACGAAGCTTGGCCTGTCACTGAACATCGAGAAAACCAAAGTGCTGTTCCAGCAGTCACCAGCCAATCCCTCCCCAATGCCAGAGATACAGCTTAATGGTGTAACATTAGAAAATGTTGACCATTTCCGCTCCCTTGGCAGCCACCTCTCCACCAAAGTCAACATCGACGCAGAAATACAACATCGCCTGAGCTCTGCAAGTGCAGCATTTTCCAGAATGAAGCAGAGAGTGTTTGAGGACCGGGACATCCGTAGGGAGACCAAGGTGCTTGTCTATAAAGCTATTGTCCTCCCAACCCTGCTATATGCCTGTGAGACGTGGACTGTCTACAGACGTCACATGCAACTCCTGGAACGATTCCATCAGCGCTGCCTCCGGAAAATCCTGCAAATCTCCTGGGAAGACAAGCGGACAAACATCAGTGTGCTGGAAGAAGCAAAGACCACCAGCATTGAAGCGATGGTCCTCCAACATCAACTCCGCTGGGCCGGCCACGTTGTCCGGATGCCTGACCACCGTCTCCCAAAGCAGTTGCTCTACTCCGAACTTAAGAACGGAAAAAGGAATGTTGGTGGACAGGAAAAGAGATTTAAAGATGGGCTCAAAGCCAACCTTAAAAACTCTGGCATAGACACTGAGAACTGGGAAGCCCTGGCCCTTGAGCGCTCCAGCTGGAGGTCAGCTGTGACCAGCAGTGTTGCAGAATTTGAGGAGGCACGAGTGGAGGGTGAAAGAGAGAAACGTGCCAGGA